TCTTCCGCAATGAATCCTTATTTATAATTATAGTATTCATTAAATATTAACAGTGGTAGCTATAACTTTCTGCAATAATACCGTTGTAAATTGAAATATAGAGATAAATCATTTGTTGCGGTATAAAGTAGTAAAAGTATAATGTTTATTGTTATTGTAGTAATTGAAGCTTAGTGTTGTATTTTGATTTGGGAAATTTGTATTTATCGGGATAGTTTCAGAACAAATCAATGACGAGTTGGAAGTTTAAAAAATTTACCTCACAAAAAATTATTTTATTTATTTATCAATACTATTTATTTATGGAACAAAATGAAATCTATAAAATAGAAATGTAATAATGGCTATCTATACTTTTGTATATATTTTCAGTAAAATTCAAAATTATATATAGCATCCTAAAATCACTTCTAGTATTTCTGTAAAATTGTATCTAATTTATCTAATAAGTTTTCATATCTTTTCCTCCAACATCGTCACCTATTTGAAATAATGAGTCGAGCACACAAAACAACGTACAAATGTCTTGACCTAAATAAAACAATTGAAAGTAAACAGAAAATACAAAAAAATGTTCAATTACACATAATTTCGCTGATGTTACATAATTGTTGGCACTAATTATCAATCGCAATTAAAAATCATTTAACTTTTCATACCAATTATAATTCCAAAAGTGTGCAAGTTATCGCGTGTTTTGATGTAATAAATTTTATGAAAATGAGCTCTTTATCGTTAAATAAACAATAATAAAATATTATCACAAATTTTTGACATAGCTACATCATTAATTATTAGGTAATTTTTAAAAATAAAACTGTTTTTAGCTAAATATGCAATTTTTGTAAATCTGCATGATAAACTCATTTTGAATTAGGGACAAAAAAATCCAATTGTGATTTTGTTGTACAAAATCTTAAACCAGATGAGATCTCATTGTTAATTGATTTTTCTCAAATTCTATAATAAAACTCTCTTTTTAATATTTTCTCTTCAACACTAATCCGCCATTCTTCAAACAAAACACTCATCAACGAACTTCATATCTAACTTCATCTCTAAAATTAACTCGCACTGATAGCTGCTACATTTTTTTAATTGGGTTTTCAGTCTTTTTGGAATTCAATAGATTAAATTGAAAATTGTCACCAATATGGATCTAGGAAAAATTAATCCAATGATTCTCTCAAGAATTTCAAGGAGTTTATATATAACAGAACGAGTAATGTTTCATAAAAATAACTACTATTTTTAACCTCGTGTGTTTGTTTATATCGAATGCGTATAAAATTAATGGGATTTATAATTAAAATATATACATTATTTACAGAAATCAGCAAATGTCAGGATTCGATTTGCACATTGCCTTAAGCTATTATTATATTCTATGGGCAACGGTAAAAGCTCTATTAATTTTTATGTCTCAACATTACGGTTAGTGTTACAGGCGGCCTACCGTAAATTAAGATAAGCAAGTTGATTTTATACTATTGAATCAGAGGTTCTCAAACTTAAGAAATAAGATTCAAAATAGTCACAGTTTCATCACAAAGTTTCACTCTTGGTAATACTTAAAAGCTCATAATTTGCAAGCTGTAGAACAACTTTTGTTCATAATAGTTACAATCAAAATTGTCATCTTGTTTCGGGTTGACGTTATGTTTTGGGATACCTCGCAAGTTTATATGTAAATTAATTATTATCAAAAAATTTGAGATTTCCTAGTTTGTTCAATTTTCCTATGGAGCTATACTTCCTAATAAATGGCACTGCATTTTCTCTATTTCTTCAATAAAATTTTTAACAAAACGTATTAGTATTAATAAAACGACTAATCATATTTTTTTTTAATTCTCTAGACAAAATATTTGAAACTCCTTGTTTTGTTAGAGTTGATTAGAATTAGAGTAGAAGCAATACTACATATCTAAATATCTATCTTGAATTTTTGTAGTTACTTTTGGTTAAATTTAAGTAGTTTTAGTTATATTCCTGAAATATTTGAGAATCTCTGTTTTACTCGAATGATATTACACATATATCGCCGATACAATTATGCCAACTGTTAAATTCATTTTTTTTGCTAGAATTGCAATAACGGGTTCCTCATATATGCTCGAGGTGCGTATTGTAAAGATATGGCGATTAGAATTAAATAATAATTCATAGTCTGGGTGTTAAGCAAATTATCGTTTTGTGATCGAACCGATAAATGTAATCAGGTTTTAGAAATTCATGATGATATAATTGAAAGAAGAATAATAGAAATAGAAAACGCTAAAACAATTTTTTTTAAATTATAGTTGGTCGATCGTTGGGTTGTCTTCTAAGAGCGATCAGAATTAAATAAAACATAAATCTCAGTTTGCAAGAACAATGGTTGGATTTACTTCTGATTTTCAATAAAAATCACATTGCTAGCAAAGTGCATCATTTCTAACAGTTAGCAGAACACCTTGTTCTGAACAGCTTTCAGAACACCTGCTAATTTCTGGCAAATCATTCATCCATCAAACTTTATTCACACATTTTAAAATCGCGTATCCTTCTAAAACAAATTCCTGGTTTACATCCATATATCATGTTGTCACAATCTCCATGCACCATGTCCTCCATTTTTTCACCATCCTGTCCAGGAAACGTAGGTCCACTAATCATATATCTAACTATCAAAATCGCTACCAAAGCCGATAATGCGTTATAGCATTAATGAAATCCAGTATAAATCACAGATTTTTACTATTACAACAGCTCTATATATTATGTTCGAGATAAATGTAGGCGTTCCTACATGGGCATATAGTGGTTTGCATAACGAGCAATTGCAGGTTAGGAATACAGCTAATTTCCGCACAACTGGATTACCTGGGGCCGCTTTTTGCACATTGTGTGTCGACTCGAGATTCTGCATTGATGAAACCATAAACAACGACATTATATTGGATCAGAAACTGTACAGTAAGGATTAGATCGGCTGGCAAGGAGAACCTCGGGTTTACGATTCTTGGAATTTGATGAAACTTTGCATGGTGACAGAATTGATAGTCAAATTGAAGGGTTCAAAATATTATAGGCCTATAATAAGTAATCAAAGTTTGGAGAGAAAGACCGCGTCTACAGGAGTCCCGTATGCCTTGGTATTTTTTTATTTTATAGTTAGATTATATGGTTAATTACAAATACATTTTATAACTTCTGGTGTTATTTTTTGTATATTTTATATTAATTTTCCAAAGAGACTGTAAACATTCCAGTCCGACCACGCTCATTACGTTAAGATTTGTGCGGGCGAGCACAATATGACGACAATTCACACCCACTTGGTACAAAATTGTATATATTCGAACATATGTTGGGAAAGTTGCCCGTAGAAAGTGGTTTTAATTTATAGGAACGTTTTTTGGGTATTGATAAAACAATGATAACATACATGAAGTGGATAGACGAACCGTTATATTCCTAAAACGTAGATTGTTTCCAATTTGGTTCATACAGACTGGTCAACTGGTCTAACTTTATTAGTACCATGATAATAAAAATATCACTTGTTTCTAAAATAATAGTTTGCAAGTAAAATAAAATATGTTAAGAAGAATTACTTTCTTTTACCATTTTGTACATTTCAATTATTTATTAAGTAATAACTATATGCAAACAAAAGCAGAATTGAATTACACTTTCCACTAATCGATTACTCATCAATATTGATATAATAAAAAGTAGTATTGAACTCATATAGCGTGTTTCGCAAAAAAGCATTTTATCGTGACGGCGCCAAATTGTCTGCGAATTTCGATCGATATTAAGTATATGATGAAGTCTATTTATAAGCCAACTTATAAGAAATGTCATTCTGAAGAAAATTGATATAAAAAGCAATCACTATTCGAATCAATATGTTCTCATAAAACCTTTGATAGGTGATGTGATTATGATACACTTCATATAATGTATATTAAACACATCTATATCATCACACCAAAATAATTAATTAATGGAGTATTCTGGTTTTAGAAATAAAAAAGTGTCATTAGGTTTAGATCTACATATGGAAGTTTTAGTGAAAATCATGAAATATAAAACTTACAATCTACAAAAATTAAAATTAATATAATTCTGTGTCAACTGTCTAAATAAATTAGACAGTAGAAAGAAAAAACTATAGCATGCGTAGAAAGCATTTCATATAATTATTTTTATGCTGGCGAAGGTAAATACGAACTTGGTATGACTAAGCATAATTTGGCTAAATTAAGTTGTTCTTATAATTATGAACTTCATCAAAATGTAGCTGTTATGAGCAATTACTAGATAAAAATGTAAGTAACACCTATATATCTATAATGATATATGATGATCATATAACGAACGAGCCAAATGTGACCAAGAACTATAAAACCAGTATTTTACAGTTTATTATATATTTGCAATAAGATACCTTATCTATTATCACTATGGTCTTTGGCGATTGCCGATGATCATTCATAGTTAAAAAGTGACGGGAAGTCAACGCACCTCTATTTCTGTGCCGAACGAAGCCTGACAAAAGATAGGAGCGCCTAATGGTGAACTCTTCGAACCGTAACAGATTCAGACATTTGTGCTGTATGATGCAGAAATATAATAAATAATGTCAGCACGTTGACCCATATTTAATAACTGTCAGCTAGGAAAATCGAGGCAACGTTTGAAGTCAAAAGCTTTTGGAGATAAGGAAGTAGAAAGGTTTAGTGGTGACCTTCTACAGATTTTTGTGTAGTTGTGAGAAATATCAAATGGTTTGCTCATATATTGTTTAGGATTTGTCAACAAGATGTAGCTTTACACGCAAAGTCGATTTTTTAATTGCCTTCCTAAACTTCCTAATTTGTGAGCCAATACCTCACGGTGGTTCACTGGCTAAAATCAGTTTTCACCAAAAGTTTTGCATTGTAACTAGAAAATTTCAAATGTTCTTCCAATATTGTTATATATATTTATACAATTATTTTGTCTTCCAGGGCTTTAGTGGGAGCTCCGCAGGCGGATGCTCATCAACCTGGAGTGATACGAGGAGGCGCTGTCTACAGTTGCGATGTTCGAATCGATAATCAATGCCAAATTGTACCATTCGACCGATATGGTAAGTTATAGAAATAAATTTATTATTGCAAAAAAAGTAATGTGTCAAATGCCAGTTCAAATCTTGGATCTTTGAATCAAATGTGATAGATTTTACATATTATCCACATCCATGTTTATTGTTTTTCCTACCCTCAATTTAGTTGATTTGCTAGAGAATGTGTTGGAATCAACAAATATTCTTGATAATGAATATCAATGTGATGATCAACTCATAACCCTATGAAACAAACAAATCTATTATTGATAAAGTGGTTTTAAATTTAGCACATGGATGAATAAATATAGAGTACGTTAATTAATATTCTTTTCCTTCGCCTTGTATGGCCTCGCAATAAATTTCATGAAAACATAACTGCACTCAAGACACGTGTATTTATATTCTCCGTCTCAATACGGAGATTTCGATTAAGAAATTGTTCATTTCGATGAATGAATAATGAATGTTGCGAGTTCAAACTACGGGATACAAAACTATCGTAAGAAATCCGAGTGTAGGTGTTTGGTAGAAAGCTGTTTCATTGCATTTTACTGTGCAACTAACCTTCGATTCATGCAAAACACAATAATTACTCAAAAGACACGAACCTTGAGAAATTAATGTGTTTGCAATGTTATGGCAAGGATAGTGACACAAAACAACCATTGTCAGATGTTATGGAAATAGTTTATAGATCTACATTCTCACGCGGGAAATAAAAGATTTTTAAATTGCAAATGGTATTTTCAATGGCTATGGGATTTCTGTCAGAAGCTCCAGTTCTCGGACAGCCTGATGTCCAGTTTTAGTAAAATTAGTGGTTTTCACTTGAAAATATAGCAATATGTTTACAAGCGAAAATAGCCTTTACCTCACCTCCACCTCATGGTATGATTTAAAATAGATAAACCTAAGAATATTTTATGATAGGATATAGGATGAGTTGATCTTTTGTTGACCCGTTGGCATTTCTACTATCGATAGAGTGCAGTTTCATAAGGCGTCGTATGTAGACTTCGAATAATTTATAGACATTGTTGAATGTGGTACTCCCACCTTTATAGATTTATTAAAAATTAAGCTGACGAAGATCTCACGTGGGTCGGCATTCGTGCATGTAATTTGGGTTATGATTTATAAGACTGATATTAAATGTTGCACGCGGTTTGAAATTGTCGTGCTGTTTTACATATCATTGTAAAGAATAAAGATATTTTTATATGTGGTTTTATCAACATGTTTCACTTTATAGTAGGCAGAAGTTTATATAAAATCTCATTCTCGGTAAATTTCTGGACTTGATTTTAAAAACAACAGCATCAGCACACTCTATATTTAGAACATTTAAATTTACGTAATTTCTGACAACTGAAATTAATCATGGTCTATTCAGAAACCGGCTTCAAAATTATACAGAACCCTGAAAAACTAAAATTTTGTAGAAATTAATCAAGATTGCATAGGACACTATTATCAATGATACCCTTTTATTTATTTTATCCTCTCGGTAAAACATCTTTCGTTTCTTATTATCTAAAATACGTTAGATTCCCATATCTTCACAAGAGTTTACTGCAAAGGTGTTGCTTGGCAAACACCCAGGTCAAAGATAATATACTACAGTATCACAAACATAACATCTCACATTTCCAACTACCATTTGTCCATAATACTTGCAACTTAAACATTTCTAAAACTGCATACCTCGTATACCTATAATTTATTCCAAATAACAATATCTACATTGCATGATATTATCGCTGGTATTGAAGTTCTGCTCTATGACTACAAGTTATTTACTTTTCTGTGGCAAAACAACAAATATAAATTATTTGTATGCATCTCTATGTCGAGATATCGGAAGACGATCGCCTCTCTTTTGAATTCTGCAATACTAATGTGATACAGAATGGCATTCCTTGGGAACGCGTGCGTTCTCATGATACTACTAGGAAGGGTCATGCAATTATTCGTGAAATAGTAGAAAAATAAATAAATAGATGACTAAACTAAATTGTATTACCAAAAATAATGTACAACTTGTACAGTTTAAACAAACAATGAAAATATGATTTAATAATCAAAATGCAACTTTCCATACTACGGCGAGAAGTGTTCAAACCTTGATAAACTAATTATTTTATATCTTAAATATAAATATTCTAATAAATATTTTCTTAAATATCTTTCTATTAATACTGCGAAGGTGTTACCCACACAAAATAAAATTCTACATATAATTCCAACGGTAAATATAATTTGCTTAAACGAACTGATAAGATAAATGAAGCTAATGATTAGTCGTCGCTTCTAATTATAGCCTTTTCGTATAATTATATACACCGACACTATATTTTTAAAATTCACTTCTTCATTATGGACTTGAACAGTAATTCCAGAGATAGCATTTTAATTAAATTAAAGTAGTAATAGAATGTATTTATTATAGAAAAGAGAGTTTATGATAAACAGTTTTCAAGCAAATTGTTCAAGCAAAAATTCACAATAAAATTACTATTAATACGATATAGAATTTGATTTTATACAATATAAAATAAGAATAGTAAGTATTTTGCATTTTCTTTCTTAATTGTTGAATTCTTATACAAAGGAAATGTAGACATCTCAATTCAGACTAAATATTTCTGTAATGTGTAGCTACCGATTTTTTTGAAATAAATACTTTCATAAAAACAATATATGTATATATATATATAAATATATAAGTGATTCATCATTTGCGCATCTGTTTTATACAATTTAACATTTATATTTAATTTCAATATTTTCAACCAAGTAGTCCATGAATATGTTTCTGCAGTCGACCGGATATTTAGAGCGTTTAAATTGTGTTGTCATAAAATGGAAGCATATATTTAGTCTGACCTGAATTTTATTTATATCCGACATATATATTTTCGAATGTTTTATACCTTGCAAACCATTAACAAAATCAACATGCACATTATGGACGCAACGAAATTCTGGGTATCGAGGATAACTTTTTTTCATTTTTGCTTTTTTGAACAGCAATCGTAATTTAAAGGTTTTATGAGCTTTTGTGATGATACTACCTAATTACATGGAAATTTTCAGAAGCAATCCAATTTTAATATAATTAATTGCAACATACCCCAATTTATAAACTATTTCAAACGGTCAATAAGGTCTCTCCAAATAACATTTCATGAATAGTGACTTGCACTACATCCACAAAATCACTTCTCTAAAATGTTTGTTGATACACCATTTTGCACTAGATAATCAAAAGTAAATATTGTTTTTACACACCTATTTTAATGTTTCAAACATCGTGTAAGGCTGTGGGAAATTATATTTATTTTTCAAGATAGAACAAGACAAAGTGCTTACTATTGACTGGAGAACATTGGCATGATGGTATATTATCGATAATTATAATTGTAAAGAAGCGCATCGTTCGATCTGTAAAATAAGAAAACCATCTAAGATATCGATAAGTTCAAACAAACCTTTGTATTGTCTGTTGAAAACGCGCCAATTAAATTCAATTACAATAAATAATAGATGGACAAAAGGCTATAAATACTGTAGAAAGAGGAACTCATAAACTTGATAAATCGACTTAATAATGGAATTATATGGAGTTATGACAATGATATTCATGATCAAAATTCATTTTGATTAGTAAGCCTGACATACCCAGACAAAAGACCTAGTCTGATATGCGTGAACGAATTACCTTCGCTATACTAAAAAATCAATTTTATATATTAAATCCAAATTTATTTGTATTCAACCAGCATCATCAGTATTCAAATTTGTTTTTTTAAATCTTTGATTACTGAGAAAACTCACACAGAACAGATCTGCTCTATCTCAACTCTATATAAGTAAACTCTTTTTATCCAGATTAGTCATAATATAAATACATTGTTTATATCGAAGTATAAACAAAACTTTCTTTGTCGAGTTATATGAACATCGTTGTGCAAATAATTCTCAGAATAAAGTCTATATTGAATTTTAAAATATTTTTTTTAAGTATTCGGATGAATGATTTGCAAATATAAAACAAAATTGTTGGGTATTGGATTCGCTAGTAAACTACGGAAATTAGTCGAAGTGTTTTTATAAAATTATTAATAACCAGTATACTATGGTCATCAAATCGAACCATGACGTGTATATTCGTCACATGTATACCAGAAAATGTATAGATCTGGCTAAATATTGTATAAAATATTGGAATTAAAAAATACTTACATATTAAACAAAAAGTGCACCTAAAAAAATCATACAACAGAAATAATTTTACTAAACGAACTGGAAATGATTTTCAATCAGGACTCGTGGGATCTTCTCATGTTTTATTTGTTTGGTTTATTAGAACATAGCCTCAAAATATTGTAAACATCTTAAAATTTGAGAATATATTTGTTTATCTCAAAAATTGCGATTTAACTAGCCAACAGTAACGTGTGACAATGCATAAAATTTTGCCACATTGAACTACGAAAATTTACAAAACCAGCCTGAAAATATATATATATATATATATATATATATATACATATATATTTATATATATATGTATAGGTAAAATATTCTAACATATGATTATTATAAGGAAGGCGAATATGAAGATAGAAATATCTCAGTCAGTATTATATAAATCCAGTTTGTAAGCCAAGGTCAGCCACAAGTTGGTTATGCTATCAATGTTTTTTTGTAATAACAAAAAAAATATGTCATAGAATCTTTGATCAGAAAATTTATCAGTTTGTTCGGCAAAAATTAAAAAAAAACAGTATTGATAGTATTGACACACATACCGTTTGTACATAGCTAATAATAATCGAGTCAAGCTAATAATAGATATGAATGATGAATTGGTTAACATGACATGGTAACAGTATTTTTTGTCTAACAAGTATTTTGTCTTCTTGAATATTATCATTTTTAATTATTTTAAATGTATATTTGTAGCTAAATTTGAATTCCTAATGTGCAAAACACACCAGAAACTTGTAAATACTTTCGACATATTTTTAGAAGCAATTTTATATATAAAATTATAAATATACATTAATATAATATTTTGCTATATTTTATGAGATATCTCAGCCTAAACGTATGGATTTCTAATAAATTTAAAAAAAATATTCATATAATTTTTAATTGATAACAAAAACAATATATATATATATATATATATATATATATATATATATATATATATATATGATATATATACAAATGATTTAAATAATTTATAAAGTATTCTATTGTTTCTTAATATGATAAATTATTATACTATGCACTTGACAAGCTGAGCTAATACAAACAGAAATCTATTGACCATGAAATTGCATCTTTCTAATGATTAAATTTTGAAATTAATTGTTTTCAAGGTTATAAAAATGTATTAGGATAATTGATGATGGAATGATTTTAATGAAATACGCATATATTGCATAATAATATAAGAAAAACATCATAATACTGTGATCGTGTAAGATAGTTCTATATTTTCTTAAAAACCTTCGTAGGCAGATTACATATTGAATATAATGAATAGAAAAAAAATTAATATTTCCTATTAATTTTAATTTTAATTTACACTAATTTAGTATGCATGAATTTCTTTTGTTAAACAATTTATATGTTTTTTAAAGATAAAAATAAACACACAATAGATGAGTAGAATTATCACTATAGTGTGAGAAAAGTTTTACATTTTTTTGGAAACTCTTTTTGGCTGACTTATATTAATATTTTATAATAAATATTTACATATTTGCTATCAATTTTGTTTTATACGTAGTCAAGTATTTTTTTTTGCAAGGCAAACCATATATAGCATAACCATATATAGCACAATGATAGAGTAGAAGCCACAATCACAAATATGTGATATTGATAAATCTTCACAACCGTACCCGGTCTACAATTATGAAAATTGTAGGGGCTACTATTTTAAGTATCTGTTATCCTAGGAAACATGACGTCAATAAAAATTTCATCAATCTACTCATAGAATACTCTACATTTTATTTAACTAACGTCGCATTTTCCTGATTTTTCTTTAATAAGGAGCCATATTTTATCATTTTCTACTTTCCTTACGACAGTTATATCACTTCTAATCCTATCTATTTTCTTCTTATAAAAAAAGCCATTAAATTTGTCTCTTTAAAGTCTATCAAAAATCAATGCGGTCTACAGATCGTGTTAATGTAGGGCGCTAACTCAATGCAATAACGGAAACTTGTTCTAACAAACATACTTCACCTTCATTCCATTGAACCCTATCTCAATATTAATTAATTATAGATGTTTATGACTACAGTCACTACCGTAACCTGTCTTCCATGAAGACTTAATAATAAAGAATTTAAGAATTAGGCTACATTGCAAAGTATCCATTATCCAACGAAATGACTATAAAAATTCCATCAAGCCCCTAACTGAATCCTTTATATTGTAAGTGTCAAAGATGACATTTTCCCGATTTTTCTTAATTAAAAAACCATATTTCATCCATTTCCCAATTTCCTTGCGACAGTTAACCCACGCTCGCCGTCCAGCGGTCCATATGGCGTTTCGCCTCAGAACGTGCACTGAATCACCTGCGAAGGTGACGCAACGTGTGCGCGGGCCGCGCACCGAGTTGCGATACTTCGAGTCAACATTACATAGGCGCCACGATCCGCATGCTAGTGTTCGTTTTCTTTGACCATATTAAGACAAGAGTCGAGAGACGACGGATGGTCAGGTCTCGTCTCCGAATTCAATGGAATAACGCGGTCAATGGGAATTGATTGATTGATTGAAATTTGATTTGTGTTGGAGTACTATTGTTTTGATTGCAAATGCATGTATTATAAAAATTCTACGTTTTTAAGGCACTATAAATGTACGAGTATGAACTAAAATTGTACAGAATATGGTTTACTATGATGGTGTTCAATAAATACTGCTGTATTGGTGGTGATTTTTACCTTCTCGTAGGGTAAGTTATAGTAATCGCAAAATAGTGGGGCGCATGGCATCATGCCTTAAGGCAAATTGCTGGAACTTCACGTATCATTTTTTTTTATACTCTGAAGAATTAGATTTTTGAGAAACTATTAATTTTTGAAAAAGTATAAATTTTGACAAAAATTTACTTTTTTTTGAAAACAGACTTTTTGAAAAAAAATATTTTGAAATATTTTGGAAATTCTGAACTTTTTTCAAAGCAATCGTACTGCTTTAACTGAATAAAGACGAAATATTGAAGCGCGTAAGCGCCGTGTCGCCGTCTAACGGGTAAACATTAGTACGTAACCCATAGGAATATAAACAAAATATATACTTATTGTTAAAATCTCTATAAAATATCTGATAATTTGATGTGCATATGTCTAATAATCATTTTTGACCGCCAAATGGCATTTTTTTACTTTTCATCTCCGAAACAGCTAGACCTGCCTTTATGAAAATTTGATCAGTTCTTCATCTCGTTAATACAAGTAAAATGTTTTTTGAATTATTAAAATCGGACGCTCCGTTCTCTTAAAGACTGAGTTACCATTTTTGGCACTTTTTGCCCCGTATCTTCGGAACGGCTAGACCTGCCTTCGCCAAAAACTAATCAACACGTCTCCTTATCAATACGAATCGAATGTTTTTTGAATTATTCAAATCGGTTAATCGGTGTTCCCGAAATCGTCGACGAAAATTTATATCCGCACACACACACATACATACACTACACAAAAATCCATTTTGCCCTACGGGAAGTTAATAATAAGAGTTTTTTGTATTGGATGTTGCTAAACACGAATATAATGTTAAATTGAAGGTCAAATGGCAAAATATTGAAATAAATTTAAAAAAAAAAAAACGACAAAAATTTTTACAGGATACTTAAAATCTCATAATTTTTCCGATTTTATATTTGTATGTAGTATCATAAGTCGAAATTCTCTTTGTGGGCGCAATATGGTGGAGCTCGTAAAGAACGAATTTACTTAATTTAATTTAATAATTATTGCAAAGCTTGGAAATGTTTTTTTCGCTTTTTGAGACTGTCATAGTATTTCTGGAAACTTCTGATAAAAATGGATTATATAGTTCATTAATATTTTTTGTATCAAATTCGATTGATTGAATACAATATTAATTTTCTTTTTATTATACAACAACAAAAAAATTTTCTTTTTCTATTATATAATTTGTAATATTCTGGTGTTAAATAGACAGAATTACTGATACATGTGTAATTAATACAAGTATGAAATTCTAAGCAATTTTTAAATAATGGTTGATATCATATTTCATAAATAATACGATATCAATTTTCAGTTGTGATATTGTGTTTCTGCATCCTGATTAATAAGCATTAGAGTCAATTGAAATATGAAGTAATAATATACATGTGAAAAGGATTTAATATATATAATATATATATATATATATATATATATATATAATTTATTGACAGAGATAATTGACAGAATAATAATCCTACATATCAATAATAAAATACTTGAATTATTTGAAATTTTAATAAAAAGCCCTAGCCTTGTATAAACCAAAATAATCATCATTAAATTTATTAAAGTTCTAAAATTCTTTAGGAATAATGATATTATTTTAAATAAAAATTTAATAAATATATTTTAATTTATTCGGCTTGTGTAAGCTGAAACATTGATTTTATTAAAAATTGAATAAAAAATTGAATTATAATGATAGTTCAATTGTATATTACAGGTGTGTCAAAAATGACGCGACTGCACAATTCTATTTACTGCTCTATATTAAAATAATTAAAATTCTAAAATTAATAAAATTATTTCGATTTTCAGGAAATAAAAATACGTCACGAGGCGAACAGATGGACCAAAAGTCTGATCAATGGTTTGGAGCAACCTTGAGCAGTGTTGGAGTAAATGGACCAGTTGTGGTAAGTCCAAAGTTTTTAAATATGCAACATATAATTGAAATATATTCAGTAGTTACTTTCAAAGTACATAAAAATCTGTTGATTTGCGGAATCCTGAGTATTTTACTGCCCAGGTAACAAAAAACCTGCAATACCGTATTACCCATGAGTTATCAAGTTAACGTTGGCGAGAAGATCGTAAATTACATCCGAGCAATATGTAAATTTATTACACTGTTATTATAGTCAACTATCTACATTTACCCTGGGAAATAAAGTATCACTTAATATCAATATTTTTAAGCAAAACCTGCTGAACATATACATTATAACACATGCCTTAAGATTTTTAATAATTCATGGCTTGACATAAGCGGTTGTTTGACAAGTTGTAATGAATCATATATACACTATCAATTTATAATTGACTAAGTCTCTGGCCATAATCGAATAACAGGCTTTAAGTACATATTGAATTAATATTGTGAGGAAAATGATAAGTGTTAATGATTATGAAGTGTTAAATTGTTGAAACGTAACATTAAAGGATGAATTATAGTATTTGAACTTGAATTATGGGGTACCTGTGGTTTATTAGTTGGAATTTTTCGAACGATTGGATTGGTGTAATAACAACTATTAGTTGTAATGATATTGTTGATCGAAGTATTGTATAAACCGTACTTTGAAATATTGCAATTTTATTATATTAACAGTAACTCTAACCTAAATTATATTCATATATTATTTTAATATCTACAGCAAATACTCTACATAGTTATCAAATAATTCCCAAAATATAGAATAGCTGAAACCAAATCTGAAATTCGTGATAGTTATATCATTGAATTATGCGTAAATATTATTATTCGAAGATTATATTTTATCTAAATTAATTGGACTTCAAATATTGTACATGTATTAATGTATTACCTAAGCAAATTCCCACAATAATTATATAACAATTCTCAAAATATGAAAAAGCTGAAATTAAATTTGTAATAACTATAGTTTTTTAAATTATTTGTCCTCGAAGTAAAACGTACCTCATAAATGCACTTTTCATAAATAGAGATAAGATCTATATTCAAATAATCTAATTTTATGCAATTTATACCTAAAAAATTATGTTGTTCGTCATTAGGAATAATTGTTACATATATGTTACGTATACTTACGTACATATGCATTGCAATTACATGTATGAAGAATATATATATTACATTCACGTACCAGTTGCATAAAAATACGTTGCAATTGTTACATATAGAATTAATATTGTGTAGGAAATAGTTAATGATTATAAAGTGTTAAATTGTTGAAACATAACTACACAGTATAAATTACAGGTATTTGTACTTAAATTATGGTATCAGTATTATTATTTAGAAATTCTCAAACGATTGATGTAATAATAACATCTATTAGTTGTAATAATATTGTTGATTGACGTATTGTAGTGTGTACGAGTACATGCAAATTGCAAAGCAATTTAATATACAGTGTTTTTAAACAAAAGTTTCTAAATATCTTTATATTTATTACGAAAAAAGACGGATCCTAGATTTGGTTTCAAGAGTTAGATCCTATATTTCTCTGAGAAGAAGTTATTATTCAAGAAATCGAGAATATGACTATTTAGAATAAACTATCGGCAGAAGAGTATAGTTTTACCAAAGATTTATCATTGAGTAAAAGCTAATTAATAACATAAATTAAATTTAAATTTCGAGTTATAAATTCTCGATTAATTGCATGATACATTTCTGTTATGAATCTAATTCTCAATCACAACAACTATTGGTATTGCTATTTAATTAATTGCACAAAACAGTAAAATCCATACATAATATCAATAATTATTTTCTACAACTAATTATTTATAACAATATGAATTTTACTACCTCATATTGTTCCAGAACACAATTGGTACATGTCGAATGAATATGCGACTATGACTTTCTATAATCCAAGATCAGAAAATCTCATAACCGTATTCCATTGTATCAGAGATATAATAACATGTATTGTTATAATAATAATAATAATGAAGAAAATAGCGTATACATCAAAATAATGAATTGCTGATGACAAGAAGCATTAAAAAGAAATATTGTGAAAAATGGGTAGAAGAAACGTGTTTGGTGCAACAAAAGAGTAAAGACATTGAGAGATGACTTTATGAAGAAACATTTTGAAAAAAATACTGTATATATTATCAGACTAAAGAAGTTATAGAATAATGGAAATAACTTGTTTTAAAAATTTGAATGTTTAGTCAGAATACTTGTTCAAGATTAGAACAATTTCAAGAATGTTTCTAGCATTTTGAGGTTTAAATATATATATAATTGTTTAGAAAATACCTTACTTAGCAAAACAACGTTTGCCGGGTCAGCTAGTACATTTATATATATATATACATATATATATATATATATATACTTATACTATGTATATTTAACACGTTGCTTTTTATGTAGTTTTTAGTAAAACTGATAATAAATGAGGGTCGTGCCTAAAACATTTCAACTTTTTCATTCGACACTTTGATCGACTATCAAACTTTGTGTGACACATCTGTTTAAAATACATATTAATTCTCACGAGCAAAACACTTTTAGTTTTTTCAATTAACTGATTAGGTAGAAGTGGAGAGATGACATTTTAATTTTTCCACGCCCAGAAAAAAACTTTCAGACAAAACCACCCAACATCTAATTTGTGGACACATGATAAAAGATAATGTGGTATCAAATTTTTAATTATCAAATCTCCCAGTTATCAAATCAGACGATCTATTGGCAACAACTGCTATTAATATTATTTAATAAAAAATTCTTAATAATGTTCTTGTCTTTTTTTTTTTTTGTTATCCGCAATTAATTATCATAGGTCTGATGTAGTTTTGATTGATAAAATTAAACAACAGGGATTCTTTTTTTACGTAACTCTATAAACCCGATAAATATCGTTTATAATTTATAATGTTGAATTAACATATCAATACAAACTGCTCTAAATGCAAAATTCTAATTTATTATCATTTCACGCGTGAAAAAACCATGGCGTGTCCATTGTCATATATTATTATTGGACTCTATATTCAAACGGCGTAGGTATTATAATAAGTTGACATGATACAATGACCTGGTGGAGTTGTCATCGAGGAAACTCGGTAATATTTTATTCCATATTATATACTACCATATATGTGGACAATTTCGACCACCCACATTTAATAAGACTTGATTCCTAATCAACATAATGCGCAGAAGTAAGGCAACGCCTTCTATCCATGCCTCGACAATAGAAGTTTTTTTTTTAATTAATTAAAATTTAATTCAATTTAGTATTTAAACAAACAAACGAAGTTTTTGTAAATGATACATGTAATTTTTTATGGTCTGGTAGGTGTAATAAGATTATAGTTCCACTCTTCTGATGAACTAATATGAAAGGTGTCGATGTGGAATTAGAGAGCTTAGTAGCATTATAATTTCTAAAAATATATGTTTTATTAAGGTAATTGAGAATTGCTAATGTATTGGAAGCAAGTTAATATAATATTGATCTATTAAAATATCATACAAATTGACATACACTGTATGATATGGAAACAAGTTAAATGGCTAATAGCAAATGGAAATCGATAATGATCAGATGTCACATTAATCTTTTAGAAATATCAAACAAACGCTTCATGGTACATGAATAATTGACCAATGTATAATAATTTATTATTAGATTTACCAACTGTTCATATGAGTGAGTACTAAGGAACATGAGCAATAAGTATTCATCAGAATCCACAAATTCAAGGAGTTAATAAATACAAACCAAGTCGAAGACCGTAGAAAAAGTGAAAAATGTGAAAATCAAAATTTATTTAACACTTGCATCATTTACTGAAGTTCTTCCACACAATATTACAGGGCCAGTTCACTTCTAGATAGAAATGCAACATGGTTGTTATGACAACCCTATGTTACTGACGAATATGAGTAGGAAAAACTGTCGAAATGCTATGTATTTGACAGAATTTATTTTTAGATATACATCCTAACTTAAAAACGCACAAAGTAAAAAAAAAACAATGTTATCATAACTGCGCCTTTCTGATCTATCATTGACAACACATAAGTGAAGTTAGGTTTTCTGTGTAAAACGCATAGACGCACAGAAAATTCATAACATTGTGACAGTTTTTACTACCAATTTTTATGAAAAAAGTACCGTAGCATAGCTGGTAAATCAAACAATGTAGCCCACCAAAATTCAAGCTATTACTCATACACAAGGAAGTAATAAAAATCTCTACATATTTGTGACTAGCATCTATATATAGTTCAAAAAGAATATTCCTCTCAATTACCCGGAAACGTAATCAAAAAGCAATCCTGTGTAATTTAACACTCAAATAATCTAACCCTTCTACGTACTTAAATTTTTTATCACTGTTTCGAAAACATTAAACGAGGCGAAGAGTACCATCATTCAACATATATTATACTTGGCTTGGATGCATTTGTAAAGTGTTAAGTATATGGACATAGATAAAAACAGTCGCAGTCACATTATTTTATTCCTGTTATGGTTACATTAAACTAGATGACTCAATGCTTTATAATTTTGTTTTATTGAGTAAAACCGTTGGATGATTTTATTACTTGGAAACTGGGCGAAGATGTAATGGACAGAGTAGTAGTTACACAGATCTTGGGTTCATAAACAAATGAATGTGTTAAAAGACAATATCTAACAAATGCTTCCTGGACCGAGCAGTACAACTTAAACTTAGTAATAGTTCAAGCAAAAATATGGAACAAAAGTAATAAGTATCATCATAAATTCTGCCAACATCCAAATCCACAAATTCAAGAAGTTAATCAAACACAAACTAACTTGTAAGCATATAAAAATTTACCAGCAGATTTATAAAGATAAGAATAAATCTAACATCTGATAATTTTTAACAGGGACAATCTTCTCACAGAGAGGACGACCTCTACACAAGATTCAATATGAGAAATAGATATCTTTTCTGATTGTTGACGAGCAAATGCATATTTTTCAGAAGTCTGTATATGGAATTATATATGACAAATTATGAGAAGATAATGAAAATTCATCTATTATTCTTACCAAACTTGTGATTTTTTTCTATTTCTTAGACAGTTTGTGGAACCAATAACACGATAATAAATTAATCTCAAATGGGTTCATTTCGATGACAAATATACCAAACAAAATCTTAAATAGACACCTATATGTACATATAATGTCATGCTTTTCTCATTTACTCTATATTTAGAACTATATTTGTCGTATGTCTGCCAAAAGATACATTGGATTTTATGTAGTCTTTCTATTTTCGAATTCTGTGATGACTCAGTTCATTTTATATCTATGTAGATTGAAATACGAATTTAATATATTTTTTGAAGAAATTATAAGGCTTTATATTGTTTTTATTGTTGAACAAATAAGTCTCGGTGAAAGAAATATTGGGATAGAGACGTCTGATGACAACTTTGAGGTTGGATGGATAAACAGAAGATTTATTTTAAATTTCTATTCTTTTAAATAGATTGTGACAACTTTAATGAACATAGAACAACATAGTGTGATTTATATTAGGAAGTTTCAACTACACATCGATAAAAAAAATTCAGGAGTTGACTAAAATTGAAGACAAAAAAAACTTCACGAAATAGATTTAAATATAATCCTAAATCTATTACCATTTTATAATTATTATTTTTATTTTTTCAGGCCTGTGCGCCTAGATATGTCTTCAGATCTAACACGATAACCAGTACAAGATCTAGTCAAGTCAACACAAGATCTAAGGAAGAAAAGCGAGATCCTGTTGGCACGTGCTACTTAGCCAAGAACAATTTTACTGAATTTGTTGAATTTTCACCTTGCAGAACAAGTAAGTGAAAAAAATATATTAAATTTATATCGGTATATAGAGAGAGTAGAGTAAGAACTACCAGTATAGCCCCGGCGGGTAAAGGATGGGACGAACCGCGATATATACATGTATGTAAAAACATCATTCAAAATTGTTATATGATGTATTCATTTCTAACTTAAATGCTATCTCGTACAATAGCAAATTTCACTTCAATCGCGTGTGAACTTTACGCGCACTCTTTCTTGAGATCTGCGTGAGTATTGCGAAATAAACAAAATATTCGGTTGCCTTTTAATTACTAATAAAAATTTTTACTATCGTTGACAAAGTTAAAATTAGACTAAATCGAGTTCCATCTTTTAAAATAGTTCGAAACGTTTAAGTCCCTAATTCAGTGGATTTGTTTGTCGTCCCGCGGTTCGTCCCATCCTTTACCCGCCTGGGATATACTGGTAGTTGTTACTCTCCTCTCTCTCGACAGCCGCCGAGGAGCTAGAAATAGCCCGCTACCAGAGTTAGAAGTTAGCGTCATTCTGATTTGTAAACATACGAGTCGAGCGGGAATTCTTCTAATAAATGTTTACTGACCAAAAATATAAAATTCAATCCGTATAAAAATAAACTGCACTAAGAATAATATGAAGGATGATAGATGTATTCATAACAGTGAAAGTATCGGGTGGGGAAGATTTATCAATTGGATCTTAAAGACCAATGATAATACGTAGAATGAAACGTAGAATATTTTCGAATGTGATATTTGTTTTTAGTTTTATTATTCAGAAACATCTCCAAAATAGTGGCTGTTCGGACGTATTTTTATATTAATATATTGGCCTGCAAAAGAGCGATCATCATGGCATTGAGCTTTTATACCGGGTAGCACAGAGTAGGACAGATTTACTTTTCAATTCCAAAACGAAAGACCACGTGGTAATGAATTACAAATAATAAATATATACAAACTTCGAATCAATTAGAATCTAGCAACAAATCAGTAATTTTAATGAGAATTTGCAACAAATACATAAATTATAATATTTTTTTGATTGGAAAAATGATAGGTATTAAAAATAATATATAGGATAATTCATAACAGTGAAACTACTGTTGGATTTTACCATGAATTAAATATTGTAACGATGCAATATGAAATAGTTGTGGGAAAATTTAACAATGAGTATTTCGATTTTTATTTCATCATTAAAGAATATCCACTAAGAATCATATGTATGATAATGCATATCTCAAAAATGCAGTTAGTCTATCTAATTGTAATTAGTACAAATGATGAGTTAATATACAAAATTCTCATTTCAATAAATTCTATTACAATAAGAATTTTGTATCTTACTTCGTCATTAAGACTAAAATTGTACCCAACCCAAAGCAATTTTACCTAAAGCAGATTTGTAACTCTTTAAAATCATCTTTTCAAGTCATTATTTGACTTTTAAATATTTTATATCCTACAATATTATTTTCGGCAACTCTTTTGAAAATACTTTTGATTTAAAATAAGAAACTTATGTGCATGCAAAACTTACCATTCTCGATGTGATCTGCAAAGAAAGAAAAAATGGATTAGAAAATGCTCAATTAATATTTATAATAATAATATTATTTTATAGTGTAAATTTTTTCTAAGAAAACTTGTCGCTGGCGTAACACATCGATTAGTTCAATATTACAATAAAAAAAATTAGTATACAGGTATTTTTACTAGCTATTTTTCTAAATAACAAATCTCTAAATAACAATCATTAACATGTAAATTTAAGCTTAATTTTCTGTTATTGATTAAATTATGAAATATCAATATTATTCCAATTGCAATATATAGTCTTGTCAATTATCAATATTTTCATTTTTCAATTCACAATTACAAAATTATATTATATTTAATTGGTAGTGTTCTTTATTAATAAATTATGTAACCATGTAGAAGAATGTTCTACACGGGTATGTTTAAATAACGGACATTATTTTGTAGTCCTCCTTCGAGCTTAAAAGTTCAGTCACAAATCATCTTTTCACCTTATGGCACTAGAAAAAAATCCTTATATAAATTCAAAGAATTAACTTAATACAAAAAGTATAAAAGTATAAAAACCACGGCCGTGAAAATTAACTAAAATAACTGGTTCCAGTTCATAGTCAACCTTTGAATAAGATGAAACGAAGAAAGGGCCATCTGTGTTAATCAAACGGTGCGCGATGACACGTGCTCGCACAAAAAATAAAAAAAATGTTAAAGGTATAAAGCAGAACTCACAGCAGGATGTTTATTGTATACAAGAGTTACCCTTCGTCTGTCTATGTGAGGTATATTTTAATAAAGATGTTGCCAGAAATGTAGGAGAACGAGGAATTTACTTCTATCTAAACTATCACTGAGAGTTTCATATAAGACGCCATTTATTTAAAAAAAAATCCTTTAACATTTTTAACTTCCCGAAGGAGAAGTTTATGTTTAATAAAAAAATCCGATTCGCTAATTTTATGTTTTCTCGGCGTTTCAAGCCATTCTCAATTGAATGAGACCAAATTTGGAAAAAGTAGTAGTATGTAAAAGTATGTGTATTTGTGTGTGTGTGAACAGATTTTTTGCCATAAATTGATATTGGTTGGAAATCGTGCTGAAGTTAGTTAGTTAGTTTTTTGTAAAGATCAGCCGGCCCGTTTTCTTGTAATAAAGTGTTAAAAAATTTTTTTTCGTCAATTTTTGTGATTTCTTTTTGACGGTAGATACCATAGTCTTGTAGGTCGTACTGAAGTATTACGACTCTACGACAAATAGATTAATGTTGAAAATTCATCAAAAAATGTTACCAACGTCTTTGAAATGCTAAATCTTCATATACCTGATAAACCTGGTTAGAACTCATACATCTAGAAATGTGCCTAATGAAAAACGCTAGAAGTCATATATTTGCAAATGATCATTTATACCTTTCGATTCTCAATTTCAAGAAATTGAAATTTCTTGTTAAGGATATTAGAAGTAAAAGTCAGGTAAATATATGTGGGCCGAGGACATTCATTCTAAAACAACTTACGACGACAATTTATAGAAATCGACGTAACATAAGTTACACAAAACATTATCGTTAATCAAAAACAATATTTGAATTAGGAAAGTAATGTTTCTAGTATTGCTTGATAACTAAACCGGTCGTTCTCGAAAAATTTAAAGGAATAAGTATAAAATAAAGTTAATAGAGCTGAGATATTTATATATCACATTTTTTTAAAATGCCATGTAGATGATATGGATTATTTGAAAAACTTGTACCAATTTTTTTTTACGATTTAGTTGAAGGTAGGAGCTAACACCATCATATTTACAATAATGATCACCTTGATCCCATTTAGAATAATGTCCTTTTGTTAAAACATTTGCGTCATTCTCTACTTGAAAAGAATTATCGTAAATGCAATGCCATTCTAAATTAACTAGCATCCATAATTTCGAATTTATCCAATAATAGCAATATTCGAAAAAATGAGGTAAGATTCTGGATGGAATTTTTTTAAGGACAAATTTCACGTTGATACGTCTTTTCAATCGAAAAGGAAGAAATAGCCAAAATAAAAAAAAACAAAATTTGGACATATTCGTGGTACTTATAGTTTAATTTATCATGTTGAAATAAATGCTTTTCAAAGTCTTAACGATCGTTATAAATCTTACGGTAGAATTCGCCCATCAATTCGCCCATCAATTTCTCATTCCTCCGAATAATTATCCGAGAATTTATATACTCGTGAGTAAATATCGAAGTATAAAATGAAAATAAAAACTTCTTTGGTGGTGTACTTGCAGTATGCCGTTATTTATTTTCACAAGTTACTGTTTGTTTATTGTGCTTTATATAGTCAGGCCGTGTAGAAGGAAGGCACAGAATCATCAGATATACGCTCCTGATTGTCTGACAAAATAGAAAGAGCGCCAATTATAATATTTTTTCAAAAATTGATTTATTTTAATATTTAAAATACATATCCTCGTATGTTTATATAGGGGGTACGTGGCGTAAGGTGTTGAGCCTTCGCTTTGCAATTACATGATAGCTACCCTTATATCAGGCAGTATTGATATCAGTACTCATTTAAAAATATACATGAAAAAATTTGCTTTTATGTGAAACTACACCTTAGATACTACTGTGCAAAAACATTAATCAGGCATTGGATACGGATATAAAAATAATGTAGTGAAAAATAATATTAGGATCTCATCTCATTTAATGTTTCCTTTTCCTCAGATAATATCATAGTGTGCATTTTATAATTCAAAAAGCAGAAAAATCTTCATAGAAACTTCTAACTTACTACGTTCATATATTTTAATATCATTTTTGAATAAAATACCTTTTTACTACCCACCTAAACAGATCTACAATCATGACAAGTTATCAAATGCACGTTCGTTCCAGAGGCTCTAAACTTATGGACCGTTAAACAATAACAGTTTACAAACAATGGACTTTACACAATAATCAACAACGACCCTGGCTGATTATAATCACTTGTTCTAAATGGATTTTCAGAAATTTCTTTTAAATTATTGCATTTTTCACTTGCAGAAAAAATATGCAGAAGCATTGTCTCCGAAAATAAAATATGAAGCCTGGTGAAATTTATTTCAAGAGCTTAATGTTGTCAAGTGTTTTGTTCCCCGAAATCCTCTTTTGTAGAGTACACAGAAGCTTTGGATGAAAATTTTAATATTTTGTAAACAAAACTTCCTGGAAAACTTAAGAAGGTTTGATAAGTTACGGGGCTTGAAATTATTGAACCGAAATATTTTTGCTGTAAAAATTTACACTGATGATGGGATAACGTTTGTAATTTAAATCTTTGTGAAATATAGTGAAAAACAGATTGCGGAGCCTAAAATAAAATTTCTCAAAATATTGTTTTAAATAAAATTGCACATGAACTGAAAATCATAATTAATAATATTCAGAGTTATAGATGTGTACTGTTGCACACATATTGAAAGACATTAT